AAAGACTCCCTTTTTGTGCTTCGCACACGGGAGTCAAAAAGGACTCTTCTAAGGTTCCCACGGACTTTCTGGTAGGTATGATTAGGTAAACAAACAGGTTCATAAAGGAGGCACATTCATCACTAAAGGACAGTGCTCCTATCTCTGAGCGCCGCCTACCTGACGCTAGAGCCAAAAGAAAAAACTGTTTACATAGTGACATACTTCGTGTCTGCCTTATCCATAGGCTCGAGGGGGGGTCTTAACGCTGTAGACCAACGAGAAGTCCCAGTCAAGAGGATTAGCTAGCCCCTTGGCGCGTGGCCCCTTCGAGCGGAAAGACTAAAACAGTTGTATCATAATGGACTCGAAGCCACTTTCAGTCCAGCATATTCTAAAAAAACTGGGAATAAAACTGACCGATGTCCAAGAATTTTCCTTGATCAAAAGATATAGGAAACAATCAGCTACCTTGCTAATAGAGGGACTGAGATGATCAATCTCCCTTTCGTCACACCAATCAATGTACGGCCTCCATCTGGATTCGTACAAACGTCTAATGCCGTCCAACTGTGCCAAAGCGAACTTGGACAAGTCTGCAGAAAAGACTAGTGCTTGCACATGTTATTATACAGTCTCCCTGCGTAATATGGAAAAGTGTCCAGGGATCGGAAACTCTCGTGCGCCAAGCTGGAATGTGCTGCATAAGGCGCGATCCCACGGGAAGGAGTGAACAGGGGTTCAGAGCTAATGCTTCCTGAACTCCAGCCTCCAGTATGGGAGGAAAAAGAGGGGGAGACTGAGCCCAAGGACTCCGGGGAGGGAGACCCGAAGTCGTACCACCGTCCATGTCCAGGCAGCAGGCGAAACCTTCAAAGAGACTTTGCGGCCCCCTGGTCCCCAGAAGTGTCAGAACGCCCACCACCAATGCCACGTTTCTTGGGCTTTCTCTGATGCTTGGCCAACAGGGACGATTGCTTCAATTGGATACGCTGATCTTCTGCAACCGCTGAACCATTCACCGCATCCACTAACCGGCCACCACATAGCCGGTCATGCCCCAAAGGCCTTCTCCGCAGGCGATCAAACTTGTCAAACTTAACAAATATTTATCAAAAAAAAAAAGAAACTTGTCCCCCGCTGGAGTAGGATAGGCACACAGATCCAGAACTGCCTCACGCTCAGCCGAAAAAGCTCCTGCCAAGAGGGCAGTATGGACTTGCAAGATATCGCACATAGCGACTCTCTGCGGCCCCAGGAACTGGCCCATCTTACTCAAGGATCGAGGTTCGTTGCTGAGCACTCACACGATCAGAACTTAGAAAGGTGAGCTGATGCTCTAACGGTAAAGAAACCCATTCTATAGGCTCTGGTGCCAAGCTGTCCAAGCCATCACCCCGTGCCGATTCAACCTCGGGACTTGGTGTCAATGTCAGCGTCCCAGACTAAAAACTAACCTTGGTAATATCCGGTGGGGAAGCTAACTCCACGTTGGGAGAATTTAGATCCACTGCCGGTGTTCCACACCTCAACTGTAAACTGTCCTGACGGATTTGTCTCAATCGTCGACCCTGCTATCTCGAGCGGGGAGTCAGATCGTGACAACTCTCCCACACTCTCGGATGTTGACCGGAGGCGAGCCTCGTGGTGACTACCAAGCGTAGGGAAAGATTTCTCACTCATAGAATCAGACATACCAGCATTAGCGGCAGTAAGGGATTTTCCCTTCTTTTTGCGAACATTACCAGCTTGCCTTAGCTTTCCACCCTGCCTCGCAATCGAGCCACATTTTAGGGTCCATAAATCGCAAAGCCCCTCTAAACAGAACCCAGAGTCCCTGACACAAGCAAGACAACCGAGACAACACATATGAGGGTTCCAATCGAGCATCCGCTTTATAAAGCAGGATGATCATGTCTTACTTCCCATCTGTGGTGGGACATACTTCGTCTTTTTTTGTGACTTAGGCATAATAGCGTCTGCAAAAATTACAAACATGAAACAAGTCATTGAAAATGACACAGCCCCCATTAAATTTTTGAAAGTTCTCTTTGTGCTCGTCATATTAAAGCGAAGGGGTTGTCACAAGCGTGTCCTTGAAACTTGAGTTCCAAATGGCGTATACAACAGATTGTTTATTTACATCAAAACATGTGTTCCGTGTAGTAGTAATATGGCCAAAAATAAAAACAACCGTTATTCGGCCATCTTTGATCTGATTATGAAACACACTGATATGTATGATGTATGTGCCAAATACAAATGAAAATGGTACATAAATTGTGGAAATATAGTAGTAAGGCCAAAAAGTCAGATGGCTGTCAATTGGCCATCCTTGACCAGATTTTGAAACATATTGTCATGGACATGCATCCTAACATGTATAAAGTACATGTATGTGCCAAATTTGAATGAAAACTGACAGAACACGTCCAAGATACCTCATAGAAAAAAAACAAGATGCCTGCCAGTCTACCATCTTTGATCCAATTGCAAAATAAATTGTCATGGACATGTATCCTAACATGTATATTCTATGTACCAAGTTTGAATGACAACTGACAAAGCATATCCCAAATACACATTTTCAAAAACAGATGGCTGCCAGTCGGCCATTTTGATCG